GTTTTTGTTAAGGCGTTTGGGCGAGCTAGCCACATATGCTTTGCACTATTTCAGGCCCTGGCGAAGGCGAAGCAGCCGAAACGTTGGCCATATAAAGTATTCAATCTTGAGAGGCTTGAACAGGGCGTATCTTTACTGTATATCATGCCAAGATTGCAACAAAGTCGATCATGGACTATTCCCAACTCTCTTGATGAAAGAAATTTTGCAACCGCTACTGTTCGGGGCTGCTGCCTTCTGCTGCTGTCATTCTATGGGCTATTCCAGCTGAAATGCTTGGATGAGATTGGGTATCTTGTCAAAATCAGATAGTGGCCAGCAAAAAAGATGTGAACGTTTGACAGATGGACAAAAATGGTACGACAGCTATTCTTTTGCACTTATCAGTATTTTTCAAACTCTTAAAGATAATTTTTCAAGGTCCTACCTTTCTGCGCCGCTGGTGGTAACAAATGGAATAGTTTGTGCTAGCGAGTGCAAAATCAACTGTAAGTATCACCTAAGTCCAGAGAATAGCACAACTATAGTATTTCGCACAAAACTAGTGAGAGAACGCTGTGAGAAATTTTCCGACAGGCAAGGCAAGAAGGAAAGATGTTCTGTGGCAGCAGTCAACCAGGAAATGTTTGGGGTGTTCAAAGTCAGGTAACCAGATTTACTATACTCAATACAACTATCCAAGAGGCTGTAAACAACGTACCCATAAATACTGAAACACTGGTGAGAAAGAAATGAGAATCGCACCATCGAAATGAAATGAAGTGCCTGTGATTTCGTAAAAATACAAAATGTGATGGGCCTGTCCTCTACAGCGTAGAGAAGAGAAAGCTGGAAGTGTGTTGGACTTTTTAAATAATTGGGCTGACGTGGTGAAGTGACAAGTGGTGCACTACCACACAGGATCGAACCCGAGATCGACTCACGCCCAGAGTAAGCAGGCGTTTTATACATCCGGGGCTACCTCATTGCTACAAGATCGCACATCGGCTAGCCGTCGCTAGTCTTGTATAGGCCACTGGGCTTTCAGAACGCTACTACATTCCTGACTGCATTGTGAATGACAGAAAGAAGGGAGTGAGACCTTTATCTTTTATCTTGATGATTGAAGCGGTCTCGCTATATGATGACGTTTCAATAAGTAGTTAGCGATTGTTTGTGAAGTTTCAAAAGAAAAAAACTTTCGGCAACCTCCTCTCGCCTCGTATGCCTCCGTTTTCATTACATAGAGGAACAACAAAGGCAAACTTGAAAAAGAGAATTGTTGAATTTCATCAGCTATCATATGATTTTTGACATCGTCCCAAGTAAACTTATTCTTCGGTCGGGTTGCGAATGAGTGCACCAGCTGCCAAGCTAAGTGATTGTGGGAAAAATGATGGCTATCCTTTAACAGTTTCCACAGAAGAGAAGAAATACTGAGCCCTGACCCTAAAGGGATTAAGTTGAAATATATATCCACAATGAGTGTCCAACATCTAAATAAAGCAGGTTGGTCTCTTCTATGTATGACTGACTATACATACATATTGGTAGGCACTGTAATCGGCAACAGAATTTATCATTCAGAACCGCTTAGACCCGAAGTTTTCATAATAAGTTGTAATTTAAGCAGTGAGTATGGTCGGACCTACACGAGGTGCTCAAAGCATGTAAGCATCAGTGTTTCTTGCCTATGTAAGGATTCCCATATACGGTAGGTGGTTCAGTTGATATAGGATTGTGTTCTAGGATTGTAGCGAGTAGACAGCAGTAGGCAGTCGTTCCAGAAGGGTTTGCCAAGACAGTATTGGACGTTGAGTGCAACAACCTTCACAACTGTAACGACCAGCCTGGAAGGCCTTCCTCTCCTGGACATAATCCGGTCAACAACTAAGGACGAGCTATCGATTGCTGTAAAATCGATGTTGTAGAATCGGCTAAAGAGTTCTACTTGTGCTAATTCTATTCTCTAGAAACTATGCACCACTGATGCTAACTCGTACGAAGAGAGGGGAATTCATCACCTTCCTTGATGAGAGATGCCACTTGAGAAGACGAATGCCTCGCCAGCCGCATTCGGGATTAATCTTCGAGCATGAGCTTATTTCTTTTTCCCTTTATTTGTTTGCCGTTATGCAATGATATCATTCTTCGATCTTCATTGGAACCTCAAATGAAATTTCGATCGATTTTTGGCTGATAATCACTACTTTCTGACGAAACATTTCCGTGTTGCTCAAAAAGTACAAGTTGATCTTGTTGTTGTGCTGAAAAAAAAACACAAACAGGGAGAACTGTCCTGTTGTTCCCGTTCTCCCACTTTCTTCAAAAACAGTCTTATGCCTTGTTGAAACGACTTTAGGGTAAAAGGCTTTCTACCTCATGACGGTGAAACCTCCGACACCTCCCGACCTCTAGAAAGGATTATGCATCGGTTGTTCTACTTCACGAAGTGGAAACGTCCTAAGTTCGTGAGAATTCATCTGAGCATTGGCCCCTCCTACTGCTTCATACTGCTGGTTACCTTTTGTTCAATACTGAACCATCTATTCAGGTGTTGATTGTTCTTGGTGTGAACAAGCTTAGCCTTTGTCAACATTAGGAAACAGAACATATCGGGTTTCCCACAAGCTGCTTTAGTTTTTAATCACCAACGTGGGAAACTGATACCTAGGGTTATGCAGCACCATTGAACCAATGATACAATTCTTTGTTACCTGAGATACTCCACATGAGGGTGCTTCCGCGAGAGACATTGGGATTCTTATTTGAGTTAATGATTCATGAAGCCCCGCTTGAGATATGATGGTGTTCACGCATATATTTGTCATTATCTTCGTGCTATTGACGTTGATTCCAGTTCACGTTCTAAGAGGCCCAGACCCTATTAAAGTGTTCTTTTCTAACATTATATCAAACCATTTCCCCCAACATATTGTTAAGACAGCACCCTAGTCCCGCCTACTCCGCTCACAAGTTCTCCCTTGTGAAGCCGCCCAGGTTACACCGGCTAACTTTACATAGTAACAGACGATCACTTTCAAAAACTTCTACTCGCTTGAATTTTCCCTAGTAAACGCTCATTTCGCTCATTTCATATTGATATGACACAAGTATTTCCCGTTTCAGCTGTTATGGTGTTACTTACTTTTTTCTGCGCTTTAATGCCTTGAACAGTTACCGTAGTCAAAGTGTGACGAGTTGCCTGAAATTCAGGTTCAAGTCGTATCTTGAGCTTTGAATGACGAAAAGTTGAGGCTTTCAGGACGGGAATCCGCCGACGTTCGAAATTTGGCTCGTTTAGGCTACGCAGATATCCACTCCTACGGTAGCCTGCCATTTACAGCCACCATCGGTCATTACTTTACTGCTTATATGTGTTACTGCGTATATTATAATATTTAGATCATGACACTTTACGAGACAATCAGTAGATATAAGAACAACCGGAGAGTACTTCTACTCATAGTTTACATAGCTTTGTTCCTTGACAACATGTTGTTAACTACAGTGGGTGAGTACAAGGATCACTGTCTACTCCTTATTATCACATTCTCATCATTTGCTTCCATAGTATTGCAAAAATTCAGTACCAATAATACCTGAATATCTATTGCGCATATCACATCCTAATCAGACGGCTTTACTTCTTTACAATCAAGCTACAGAAGAGGGAGAAGATCATAACATTCAGAAGAGACAGGTGAGCCATCATCTAATGAATGGAGCTTCCGCTTAGTGTGCATTTTTCCAGATTTTGTGGGATGATGATGCTTGGGATATCCCAATGATTGATGGACAAATGGATGACGAAGAAGAACCACCGGAAGAAACTCCTGTAACTCCAACACGGAAACCACAGAAAAATCGGAAAACAACAAAACAAAAACCTAAGGAATCGCTAGAAGATCAGCAGAAGCCACCACCTTTTCAGAGGTCAACATGAAACAGAAATATGTCTTCAATGGCTAAGCTTCTGTTGGTAGGGCTGAATTCTGTAGATGCTGATCTTACCCATCTACCTCTCCCAACCGTTCTCCCTACTTCTAGTCCGTAGTGAACGATCGTGTTGAGGCAATGTATTGAGTTGTTCTACTCCCGAGAATGAGCGATTTCTGATAAAAAGTTAGCAGTGCTCCTCTGTAGCTCTAGCATTTTGGTGCCCGGTTTCTCACCCTAGCAGCACTGGTTTATTCCTATTTATGTCTTGGGTGCCGGACATACACGGTGTTCCGCTAGCTCCTACTCTGAGAATGCTAATTGTATCCATATCCCCTGAACAGGAGCGTACTTTCGAGTCTACAGGCTTTGGATAGGGCGATATGAATGGAATGTCAGCCGATGGAGTTGTTATCCTTTCGTGTTTGGAGGTTGATTCAAAACACCGAAGATAAGCTCGTCCCAGTCAACGAAACCGCAGAACAGCCTGTTGTCAATTTATCGTACTGGTAACAGTAACCAGTGAAAAATACTTGATGATGAGAATTGATGCCACTTCCAAGTTTTCCTTACGTAGAATTCAAGCGCTTGACTCCGAACACAGCATGTTAGGAAGGGATCATATCCATGTTTCGCACTGGCTGCAAGAAAATCAAAATCCAAAGAACTCAAATTTTGTTTGTTTACAGGCCAAGAATGCATCCCGCTCCCAGTGAACCTACGTCAGATCAACAGCAAGAAAGACACGAAATCCTTGCTAAAGAGAACGTTCTTGTTGGGCTGATGTTCGGCTCAAAAGCTCTTGCTCAACTCATTGCAAATCCGTGGATAGGCCCCCTTACCAATAAGTAAGTGTTACGTATTCACGAAATAAAATCTTCTTTACAATTACAAGTTTAGAATTGGGTACACCCTACCGATGTTTGCTGGGTTCGTCATAATGTTCCTATCGACAACCTTGTTCGCGTTCGGTAGTTCTTATGGTACACTGTGGTTTGCAAGAGTTATGCAGGGTATTGGATCTGCCTGCACGAGCACTTCTGGTAAAACCTTTTAGTCTGGAGCTTATCCGGTTCAGGAATTTTTATTTTGGCATACTACAGGTATGGGTATGCTTGCTCAAGCATATCCCGATGATATGGAGAGAGGCAGTGCTATGGGTATCGCATTAGGTGGTATCGCTTTAGGAGTTCTCATTGGACCACCATACGGTGGCCTGTTATACAAATGGGCTGGAAAGGAGCTCCCCTTTATTATACTTGCCCTATTAGCATTATTTGATGGAAGTGAGTGGTACGGTAGTTTGTTAAAGGTTTGTATGTTCATATATCTGAGCTTCTATTTCAGCATTACAATTCTTGATTCTTCAACCGAAAGTGGATCGAGGTGAACCGGAAGGGTCGACAATCAAACAGCTCATAAAGGATCCGTACATCATTGTCGCTGCAGGTTTGTGAACTTCTCCCTAGTTGGGGCCAATCAATTACCCACAAGTTTGGGTGGGTCATATATTACGACGTGGATTTCTGCAAGAAACATCAGTTCCAAGGCTGATCGATGCTAGTTATCCTCTTGAGGGTTTCCGGAGCGCGCTGGTAATTGTGCCGACAGATACCTGCCATTAGGAACCCCAAAAATAAGCAGAAAGTATTGCATGATACTTGGGGACTTGGTTCTTGAACAGAAACCCTCCACACATGATGGGCGTTACGGTAGAGACGAATAAGGGCTATGGCAAATAAGCCATTATATCTGTTGGAAACCATGTTCGATGTCGACGTCAATCGCAGGAAAAAGTATCGATGCAGAGAATGTGTATACAGGACCCCTCCTGGCTGGTACACTGATTGATTTGATTGATTTGTATCATCAAGTTCTAAAAATATCTGCAAGGGCACATATTTTCTCCTCTTCAGCTGTGACTACACTTCGATAATTTGTAGGCATATAAAAAACCTGTCTAAAATATTCCATATTCACCTCTCATACTGGAACCTTGAAACTGGAATACTCCCTAAAATTCCATTTTAATGATCTTTTTCCATTTTCCTGGAGCACTTCTTTTCCTCAGTAACTATTTTTCTTGGATGCGGAGTGAGGAGTACTGCCCTAGGTGGTCCGGTGAAGGAGGTGCTCGGCATAGCATCAATTGAGGCATCACCATCTCGTACTGTAGGAGACCCTTAATAAAGGATTAAAAGGATAAAGTTTCTGAGCGTTATCAATTCTATCTCAGAAATGCGCCGCGCATTCGACCTCAACTCAAAATCGTGGTGGCGTACTGAATGTGCGTGTATCCTCTACAACGACTTGCAGTGGCTACCGATGTACAAGTCAGCGATTTTATCCTTCCACATGAGTCTGGCACCGATCAATCGATCCCGGAGAGATCCCAGAAGGCTTGGTTGGCTTAGGCGGATATCGATTCGGGATTCGAGCGCGTGACCATGCGTGTGTGACAAAGCGCCCCCTGCCACTACACCACCTCCGCCTAGGAGACCTTTGATGAGCTATCTTATCCAGTAGCAGAGAAAATCCAAAGAGTACTTGGTCAGTGATTTAGGTAGCTTAAGTAGGTGATCATGTTTCATATCAAGAACAACGTGTTCATCAGGATTGATCGGTACAAAATAATCAAACTGGGAATCGCTCGTTGGGTTTTTGGCCCTTATAGAAACCCGTACATGTTCCTGCGACTTTCGATAGTCTTACAACCTCGACTTCGGAGTAAAGTTGTTGAACAATTGTGTAGGAGTTCCTATTTCGTATAAAAGATGTTTGCTAGCGTCTGGGAAAGAGCTAGTCTCTATTAGTCTAATTGAGGGCTTCAGTTCACTGAAAATGAATGGAGCCCTGGTAGGTGGCCGAGCACATGATACCCTGCGCTCTTCCGGAACAAGAAACTTCCGTGCTCGCAAGAATTCGTCATAGTGACAAAATAATGATTGCTACTGACGCATTCATCGCTTCCACATCATTAGATTCCACCCTCACACCATGGTGTGAAAGTTCCCATATGAATCACTTGTGTGTGTGTGTGATCAATGTCAAAAGTATTGTATCTGAAGCCATAAGGGGAAGGAAAGGAGGGAAGAAAATAAACCTTGAGAGCTCCTCAGATTTGGAAACACAACAGGAAACAAATGAGCGGAGATGAACTGGTTAAGGAACGGCGTACCGAGTTGTCCTGAATGATGACCCGAACAGAAAGGGTGAATTTCACGGGCTTTCAAAGACATTTGCCTAAGCCCTTCCGGTTGTTACTTCTCTGATACTTACTCAGGACCGAACTCGAAGCTGCAGTTGCTGCACTTTCCCCACACTGTTTCCTAGTTAATGTGGCCCTGAGTTCATGACAAGTGTACTCTATTGAACCAAAAGAGTAAAGAGTAAGAATGAGATAGAAAAAATGTAAGCACAGTGTTCAGCACTGAACAGTCAATATCATCCTTCTTAGAAGGTGGAAACTACGACGCTTAGTGGGGGCAAAGTCTGTCGTAGTCTGCTATAGCTAACTACTCCTACCTGAATTCTCAGTCTACGAGTATGTGAAGCCTTAAGAAGAGAAACATATGAGAAGCACAAATTGAGCAAAATTGGGTGATGTGGCGTAGCATGGGTGTTTATTTTCAAGCAGGACCTCCTATAGCACTGCCTATGCACTTGTTCTATGTATGTGACGCGTTGTGACGGAGGGGATGATAGCGTGGGAATCAACGTGCATATGGAATCGTTGTCCTATAGATGAAAACATAACTCAGCTGTATGCTATCAATATCTTCCTTCATGGAAGCTTTGCCTATGCCCACTGTGACAACTCTCAGTCAACTGTGAGATTATGATAAGATTTCTTCAAGAATGAAACGCTGTATGAGGATAAGGGGTTAATCGATCCCGTTTCTGGTTGTGACCCCATGTTCAACATTCATTCAGAATCGTTGAATAGCGCTTTGAATGCCTACCAAATGACCTACACCGGTGTAGGTGTGGAGGACCTGGGAGGCAACCATTCGGGGATTCGATCCATGGACCATTCATGAGCGATAGTGGAGATCAATGAAGGGATACATGACACCCAGGTACCCGGAAAGCACGAGTATGGGTTCGAGTCTCGCATGAGACCAGTTTTTAGCCTACAACTCGCCACCCTTGTGAGACGTTCCCATTGCGTACTGGGGAACAGCAGTTAACAGGAACATCATGTCAAAACAAGTGCCCAAAGATCCTCTGTATACCAGTCCCGTTTTGGATTTTATGTTATATTGAAGGCACAGTTCACAATGATTTGAGGTACCCGTTTTCATTCGAAAAGCGCAAGTATTGATTGGGAATAGTTCATCGGTAGCGAAGAAAGCGAGAGAATTCGCCGATTTAGAGAGAAATATGGCTCATCAAAAGTCGGGAAAATAGAGGTTGGACGAGATTGCCATGACGGATATAACGTGGCAAGGGTAATCGGACGAGTTTTCAGTTATTGCATTGCACAAAGAGTTGACTACATCAAGCCAGTACTGTACAGAACTGCCTTTCACCAGGGGTCATGACAAGTTATCTGAACTTCGTACATGGGGTCTCTTGTGATCGGTGCAGCCTCTATAATGGCGGTGAAACTCGCACGAGGATACACACACAAGCCAATCTTAGAGCCTTCATAACTCCCTAATTAGGCCGTTTTCCGACCTAATAGTGCGAGATATGGTATCAAATTCAGGGGTCAAATTCATCCTGTGGAGGAATCTCAAAACCACTTTTATCGTGAACTATGCCTTTGATTTCAGTACAGCGTAGTAACAGTGGAAAACAATTACGTAACATGAATGTACTTGTTGCTTTCTTTGCTTGCCAGCGAAAGTCTTTTCTGTGGGGTCCGGTTGATCAAAAGGTCTAGAACCAACGCAAAGGAACAGGTTCTGCCATGCCATTATAGAAGAACTAACTTTGCCGCTTGCTCCCATTCTTTGGAAAGATTATTATACAATACAATGGCTAGTTCTTTAAAGGTATTTCAATATGTTTGGGATCCGATGATCTTTTCGAAATTCTTCATATGAAACGTCCAGATCCAGTTTGGGGACCTCCTGTTGCCCCACGATGGAGGAAAGTTCAAATCACGACGCCTATCCTGTTGTCCATATGAAAAATTGGGGGCAAATAGTTTTGCAGTTGACCTGATTTTGCCCTAATTCTTTACTGAAACTTTTCACAGAAAAGCTACGGCATTATTTGAAGAACACACTGGAACCCATCACCAGCAGCCGCCATAGCTCAGTCGGTTAGAGCGTGGGTCTAATAAGTCCAAGGTCGCAGGTTCGACCCCTGGTGGCGGCAAATAGTTTTGCAGGTTGACCTGACGCATGACATGAAAGGAGACATTTTCGTTTGTTAAAGTTACTGCATCAACTCTGAAGGAAAGTAATAAATCTAATCACTGAAAACTGGTTCGTTACTTTTTGCTGCACTTTTGCCCATGAAATTACTATATCGCCTAATTGATAAAAAAAAGCTACTAAGATTTGTTTTCGAAGTTTGTTGGCTTGTTGTTCATAACAACAAGTCAAAAACGCATGTTCAGGTTCATGTCCCGTCCCATTCCAAGTGCTCTGCTCACATCTCATTGTCAGTACTACTCTTATGAGGTTCTCAGAGCACTGGAACATCCATGCAAATACTCTTTGCATCTTTACTAGTAAGCCAATAACCAGTTATTTTCGCATTGATCTCCATATTTAGTTTGAAATGACACAATTTTTGAGAGAAACTTTTACAATTGGTTCGATATCTACCGATTTGTGACTCAATCAATGTATAACCGGCTTTCTGCAGAGCGAATCCATTTCAGCTGTCAGTTGCAGGCCCTCCTTGAGTTGACGTTCATAAATTAGATGCACGGGAGACTGTAAAAGGGAATTAAATAAGCTGGAAAACTCTGTGAAATTGGAAGATGGATGCTTACATTTACTCTGTTTTAAAACTATGGAGTAATGTTGCTTTTTTGATGGAAAAATCAATACACAGATCATACAGAATAAAGCAAAAGAAATAAAGGGAAAATACCGTTTTCAGCTGAAGGATTGATGCAATCGAACTTCTATTAAAATTGTGCAAGTAATAGTTCACAGTAGCAAATCAATACCTACCAACACAAAAATACGCAATGATAATATCTTTAGAATTTAAATTCGTTTTGAGAAGGAAAATCGCCTACAGCAAGCCAAGCTTAGAAGCTCAGTTCACATTAAAAAAATAGTTTCAGAGATTTCACCCTCAGATAAACTTGTAACCTCCGAGGATGGTCTGAGGCACGCTGTGGGGTCGAAAATCGGCTAAGACAGGGCGTAGCCGACGTACACACCCGAGGTAGACGAGTTTCTTAACATAAGTGTTGCAAGAGGTGTAGGGGCTGCACTACTTACACTAGAACAACCCACACCTTACACGAATGTAACTTACAATAGCTAGTTGTGAGCAACGGCATACTTACTTGGAATGCTCGTCCAAATACGGGTGTGGTGCGATTCACGCGCCAATATAATGAGGTCATCGGACAAAACCCGCTAAAACATCATTCCTACCATCATAACGGAAGTTATAAGAACTTATAAGTAGAATAAGTAAAGAAAAGACCAACTATGCACGTTTACAGATGGATTGCATTTACTAGGATCGAAAAAATTAAAGTTATTCTTATTTTGAACGTTTGACTAGTAAATTGTTGACCTATGAGGTGAATTCTCAGTCTCGAAGGGGCTTTTTTGCCATAGTAAAGAGATTTGCTCTATACTTGGTGAAGCCGTGAACTACTGCAAATTTATTTGGTCCATCTCAACAGGAATGTACTGAAACGATGCTGCGTGCTCGATGACCTCATTATATTGGCGCGTGAATCGCGCGCCCCCCCACTTGCAGCTGTAGGGGCGGCGTTTCT